AATGAACAACCTGAAGTGTGTTCATAAAGAGAAAGTTTGATAAGTTAGCTTAGTCTACTTAAATCTCCCATGTTTGATCTTGTAGCAAGTGTTTGCTAATTTCAAACATAATTTTGGAATTTTCTGGAACAAATTGGCTTTGAATTTCCCTAATTAGGTTGAAGTTATTCTTATTGATTCTTTATGTAAGGTAAAAAGTAAGAAAGTTCCCACTTTAGTGATGAATACAGTGTTGTATTTTTAAATGAAAATACTGTGGAAGACATTTAATCACTGCCTACTCCCTGTTTTTTCAAATGTTAGTAGTCAAAGCTTTCACTTGACAATCAGAAAAAAAATACGATTTTGTCCTTGGAATTATGTTCTTTTATTTTTTAATTAAACTATACCTATATTATTTCCTCTCTGTATTTCCCCCTCCAACCCTTCCCTGCTTCTATCCTTCAATCCTCTCAAATTCGTATCCTCTTTTTTCATATATACATGATTATACACACACACACACACACACACACACACACACACACACACACACACACAACCACAACCTATTCAGTCTGCTTAGTGTTACTTGTATGTATATGATTTCAGGGATGACCATTTGGTACTGAATAACCAATTAGGGAGCTCATGCGTGGGAAAGACTATTCTCCGTCTTTCAGCATACCTTAGTTGTCTGTAGGTCTTTGTCTGAGGATGGGTCCCTGTGAGCTCTCCCCCTTCCACGCTATCATGTTGTATTTCTTCAGGTCTTGTTTAGGCAGCCATGTTGTTGTCATATCATGGGTGAAGCTTCATTGCCATCGTAGGAGATATAATCCTCACAGTAGACTTCTTGGTCCTCTGGATCTTCCACTCTTTTCAGCTCCTCTTCTATGATGTTCCCTGAGTCATGGGTACAGGATTTGTTTTGCAGAGTATCAACTGGGTCTAAGAAGCCTACAACCACCTGTACTTTGAATTTTGACATGTTTTCTGTGATGGTCTTCATCTGTTACAAAAAGAGGTATATTTGATGGGGTGAGAGCTACATTTATCTATGGGTATAAAGGTAAATATTTAGAATACTATTGGGATTTCTTAGCCACTTTATTTATTCCTTTTGAAAACTGTCTGTTCTGATCCGTAGCCCATTTTTTAATGGGTCATTTGTGTTTTTGATTCATTTCTTGATTTTGTTATATGTTCTGAATATTAATCCTCTATCAGGTATAAAGCTGGCAAAAATTCTCATTCTATGGGGTTTCTCTTCATTCAATTATCAGTTTCTAAAGTTGTATAGAAACTTTTTAGTTTTGTGAAGTCCCTCTTGTCAATGGTTGGCCTTAGTTCCAGGGAAAATGGAGTCCTGTTCAGGAAGTCCTTTCCTATACCTATAATGCTGAGTACTGCTTATGTTTTCTTCTAGCAGTTTCAGTGTTTCAGATTTCACATTTAGATTTTTGATCCATTTGGAGTCAGATTTCTTTTAGTGCAAGGTGATACATGTGGGTATGATTTCATTCTCCTACATGTGGGCATCCAGTTTTCTCTGCACATCTTTTCTCTGAGGTATGTTTTTGGCTTCTTTATCAAATATCAGATGGTCTCAGTTATGTGTGTTCTATTCTGTTCCATTGGTCAACATGTGTGCTTTTATGCTAATACCATGCTGTTCTTATTACTATGGTTCTGTGATATATCTTCAAGTCTAGAATGATAATCTTTCCATCAATTTTCTTTTGCTCTGTATTATTTTGGTTATCCAGGGTCCTTTATCCTTTTAGGATAGTTTTTTTTCATTTCTATGATGAACAAAATGGGGATTTTGATGCATTGAATTTGTAAATTGACTTTGGTAGAATGGTTATTTTCATAATATTAATTCTACCAATCCATGAGAACATATGATGTCTTTATGTTTCCTCGTATCTTTTTCAATCTCTTTTTTCAGATATTAAGAATTTTCATTGCAGCAGTCTTTTCCATCCCTGATTAGGTTTATGCCTAGAAATTTTATTTTCTTTGATAATGGGAATGTGTCCATGATCTCTTGTTCTGTGCCTTTGTATCAGTGTGCAGAAAAGCTATTGATTCTTGTAAATTGATTCTGTACCCTGCCACTTTTCTGAAATTGTTTGTATTTCTAGAAGGTTTCTGGTAGAATTTTGGGATCTATTATGTATAATATCAGATCATCTGCAGATAGGGATAGTTTGACTTCTTTACCTGTTTGTATCACTTTAATTTCACTTCACTTGCCTTGTTATTCCAGGTAGTTCTTTGAGCACAATATTGAAAATGAGTGGGGAACACTTCATCCTGAGAGTTCTGAATACTATAATCACTGAGTAAAAGCTCATTGGTCCAAGTGGTGTTACGTATAGCATGGTATAGACCTTTAAAAGTTTTTCGAAGGACCTCCCAAGCAAAAGGACCTACAGGTCCTTTTCCCACATTTATATTATTATTCTCAACCACCCCAACACTCAGTACTCAAGAGCTATCACACAGCTTTCTACAAAGTTCTTGCTGTGATTCTTTTTTTTCCTCCTCATATATTTATTTCTCGGAACTGCAAAGATACAGCAGTTGTAGGATCCAAACTTCTAAGGGGAGTTTAGATGCAAATAGAGGTTAATTTACACAGTGCTGGTTCTACAGGGATCCTTCCCACAATAGAAAAAAAATCACCTAATACACCAAAAATAAATCATCTAATATACTCAAAGAACTAGAGTTGAGACCCAGGCAAGATAGTCCAGGGGAAAATGTCCTAAATTCAGAAACCAGAGCTGAAATCGCTTGTTCTATGATGTCATATGGAAGGCCTTGAGCTGAAACTATTTTCCTCAGTCCCAAGAGAAGTGGAGAGTTCCCAGCAATCACTGGGGACTGCAACTGGAAACTAACTCCCCACTGAATAACCCCTGTTACAGCATGTGACCTTTATTCTTTCAGCAACACTGTCATAGTTCCTAAATATATAGTCCCAAAGATGTTGAAATACTTTACTTTTTTTTTAAACAATGCCATCTAGTACAGAGATATGAGAGAATGATTGACCATGTTCCAAACCAGAATTCATCACTGACTTTTCATATAATGCCATTTTTACTTGCTCAGGGGTCCATTTATACTATTCTCTAGAATTTAGGTGACAAGGGAAGAGCTATTTCAATATATTTTACGTGTTCTATGTGCCTATAATCTGATATTGCAGGAATGTCACACATGTGCATACACACACACACACACACACACACACACACACACACACACACACACACACTATCAGTCACCCATGTCAAAGACTGACACTCTATCTGGTTCTTAATAAAACACTAATAAAAATCAGAAGACCAACCAGTACTATAGGAACAATGCCCATAAACACATTTGCTCTGTAAACCAAAAGACTAAGCTTAGCTGTGTGTTCCTACTTGACTCACTGAATCTCTGTACTGACCCGATAGATCTCTATACTGACAGCTAGATCTTCATGATGATGCATTTCAGTCCTCAAATATTTTAGAGATCCAACTCTTGCAGCCTTTTTTTATCAGCCAGAGTTTCTACTGTCTGCCCCCTGTTAGAAGAGTGGTCCATTCATCTCCTGAGTTGGAAACAAGTGAAGGGGCCTCTTTATGGCATTTTCCTTGGATCTCATAAAACACAAGACTTTCGTCTGATTCTTCAAGATGACCCCTGGGTACCCTAGTGTACCCATTATTTCAGGCCAGCACTAGCATTTCTGGAAGGTTTTATGTTACCCAGGCTTCCTCAGAGAAGTAGAAATGATAGAAGATAGAAATATTGGAAGAGAAGAGATATTGAGACTTTTTTAAATTTTTGTTTTGTCAGAGTTGGTTCATGTGATTTTGGAAAATGGCAACTCTCTGCTATGCACAAAGTGGAGGCTAAGGAAAGCCAATGATATAATTTAGTCTCAGTCTTGATACATAAGAACCAAGGTGTCCAAGAGCAGAAGATAATCATCTGTAGCACGAATTGTTAGAAGGTCTTATTAATAAAATCAAACCTGGAGCCAGGTATTGGGGTGAACGCTGAAAGGCCAGAGAAGCAGAACAAGCCACAGTTAACCTCACCTCGCTAACTTCTCAGCCATTCCTGTTTCCTCAGACTGGAAGCCTCTGAGTGCTCATCTGAATGGATCTCAGCTGAACTGCTGCTAAAAGCCTAAAAGCTTAAAAAGACTAAAAGCTTGTTGTTCTGTTTCACTGACCTTTCAGCATTCACCCCAATACCTGGCTCCGGGTTTGTTTTTATTAGTGAGACCTTCTAACAATTCGTGCTATAATCACCACTGAACAGAGAAAATGTAATAATCTCTCCCAGTCTTTTTGTCTTGCTGTTCTCAACCAATTGATTGATTCCCACCCATAATGGACAGTGGATCTTCCTGACTCAGTCTATGAATTTAAATGCCACCCTCACAGAAATAGCCAGAAACAGTTTTACAAACTACCTTGACATCCTACGGGAAAGTTCAGCTGACATAAAAATTAGTCATCATAGTGCTCTCTGTGGGCACTGATCAAAATGAGATACCAATCTAGAGGAATCAAGGAAGAGCATCCTGGGTAGGAAAAAAAAGATTTTATCTCTCCCATGAGCCCCCAGGCTGATCTGTATAAAATATCTATAAAGCTCCACTTGTGAAAAATAAGAGAAGTTTAAAAAAAAGAAAAGTTATTCTTTAACTTGGCCTCACTGTAGATTTGAGATCACTGCTAGTGATGTTGTGCTAAACCCAAACCACAAGCTTTAGCCGCTATAGAAAAATTGAGCAACCCAGGTCCTTCACTGTAGAGTAGTGACTGGTTCTGCCAAATAGGCTGTTAGTGGACTTTTAAGACAGGCACAGGGGGGCTAGAATAAGGACAGGACATTGTTCTTTGTTAAACAAAGTTGCAGAAACTATAAGTTTCTTTTATCCCAGGTTTCTACTCTTAGATAATTTTATCTAATTAACATCTATTTTTCACTCATTTACACAGTAATCAGCTTTAGATTACCGGAAGCCAGCTGCTGATGCTGAGAAGTACTGCAAAATTGAATTCATACAATAAATCCTTAGATGCCCTCACCACTGCCTAAACCAAGAGAAAGGAAGTTGTTTTGCTAGGTTGGTTTTGGTTTTCTGCTTGTTGCTTGTTCGTTTGTTTGTTTTCTTCCTCCTTCTTTATCTATATCTTTCATACCATTTATGAGCTGATTCAATTTTATAACCTAATATGGAAGTCACAAATAGAGCTTAAAATTACATAAAAAAATATGAACACAAACATTAAATTTCCCATCTTACAATAATGGCAATTTTGCAGTATTTTTATTTTCTTTCAAGAAATAGTTTTGAAGACTATACTATCTGTAACTTTTTTGGTACAGAGCTTTATCCACCAAGAAAAAATAGCCTGATTGGGACTTCCATATTCCTTGAGTAATAGATTTGTGATACGTGGTGAGACAAATACAAACAAACCTGCCTTTCGCCTAATTTAGTACCTAATTGTTTCACATTTCCGATTCTTTCTAATTATTTTTTCATATGCAGTTTATAGTAACATTTTGGCCACCTTCTTTGAATTAAGAGGCAAAGATAGGAGTAGAAGTCAGGAGGGTAAGAGCAACGGAGGATAAAGGAAAAAGATGGAAACTGAGGAAGAGAGTTACAGAAGGAAGACAAAGGGAGAAGGTGGGGAAGAAGAAAGGACCGGCATTTTGCATAAGTACAGACTGATACAAAAATAGTTACAGGGTGTAGTTACAAAACTTCAGTGCGACTTTGCTAGTTTCTGTGAAAAGAGGAGAGAACAGTTTTGCTAGTGCCTTCTCTGTCTTAGCTGCATCGTATACTAGAACACACTTTTCTCTCAGAACAAATATTCAGAGATATAGACATATCTCTGTATCTCATAAAGAACAAAGTTATAGATCCCACTCACATTTGACTAACAAGATATTATGAGCTAAAGAAACAGAAGTTAGGCCTACATATGGCAGACCCAAACTGTCCTGGTCCCTTTCTATGCTGTCCCATTTTCATGGTTGCATTTTGTGTCTATGGAATACCATTATGTCAGGACAGTCAGCTGCTGACACTAAGATTTTGACCATAAGTTCAGCCAACCATAGCATCATGGATACAAAAAGTAGTGTACTGTACAAAAAGTTCTTACATTGGAATTCAGAAAAAGGATTGAAAATCAAGGCATCCTGAGGCATTAAGAGAATCCGTTGAACATTACTCTTCCCACAGAAAAAAATGGCACACAGAAATCAGTGTTGTTTACCCTTCATTCAAACGTGAACCCCTCACTTCTAACAGTCTTCCAGATGTAAAGATGATTCACTCACCACCACAAACAGCAGAATCTGCTGAACTCGTCTTACACTTCAAGCTTCATGTCAAATTCTTTACCAAAAACTAGTTCAATTAGCATCAAATATATTTTTGTTCACATTTATGTTGAAAGTATCAAGTGGTTTTAAAAGCAATATCCAGAAGAAGAATATTTACACAACTCTGATGTTCAAAAAAAAAAACAGCCTAGGAACAGCCTTTCTAGAGGAAAGGTCTTTCTGCCTCAAGATAATGGCCACATTCTCTCCTTTGGCTCATTGTTTTTATGAATAGTGTCACAGTCTGTATGCTATAACCTTCAGTCACTGTATTTGCAGAAGACATAGCTTACCAGAAGAGATATAACTCCCTCACATCCTGAATTTTTCCATGTATTTACATTGTGATTCATAACAGTAGCAAAATTACAGTTATGAAGTAGCAATGAAAATAATTTTATGGTTGGGGATCAAGACAACAGGAGGAACTGTATTAAGGGGTTGCAGCATTAGGAAGGTTGAGAACCACTGCTATATCTGTCTGTCTAATCTACAGAATATAATAAGAACACTGCTTCTTCTTTGCTGTGGCACATCCGTATGTTTTTCAAAGATAGGAGAAGTTCAGCTAAGTCAATGAAAAACCTAAGCTGTTTGGAACTGTAGCTCTGCCCTTGACCTGAATGACCTTCAACTGGTTACTCTGATCTCCTGATATTCAACTACATGTTCTGTTAGGAGATGGAAATAATAAGGACCCCAGGTTTTAGTCTCATTTCTATGACTTATTGTGGTATGATCTTGTAAAATAAATGTAACTCAGCTACCTGGCTTTCCCATTGGTAAAGTGGCAATGAGAATGGTTGGTAGTTGTGTAAAAAGACAGAACCAAGGAAAGGCATACTAGGTAGCCATGCCATGTTTTCATTGTCATCATTCTGAAATTTTATGGATACTGTGATTTGTACCAGAAATTGTTGGTTAATACTAGTTTTGTTTTGTTTTGTTTTTTGTTTTTGTTTTTTCTGGCCAGATAGTTAGACATTAACAGGCCCTGTTTAAAATAACAATTTTCTTATCTGGTAACTAAATCAAGTCTTTACCTGGTTTTAAATATTCAAGTGAAGATTTCACATAAACATGACCCATGAATTACGCGTTTAATGTGATTGAGTTACAATCTCAGAAGACATTGTTTCCTGTGAAGTAGTGGTAAATTGCCAGGATTCATTTTTGTGTTTAAGCTGTTTGATGCTGTCTCCAAGCTTTTTCAGACTGTATCTGGTTTTCACCTTCATTTTGAATCATAAAAATCTGTTTGCTGAGCTATTTATTGGTTTTTCTTTAAAGACAATTTATCCAGATGGGGATAATTAGCATGTGTGTTGAATGAAGGTAAATATAATATTCAAGATAATCTGAATCCCCATGATCCCAGAAATGTTTACCCAAATATAAATAAACTTTAAAATACGCATATTTTTCTTCCTTCTTTTCACTATTTGTATATTATATATATGTATATATATACACACATATGTATATGTATATATGACATATATATACATACATACATATATACATACATACACATATATAAATTATACATATAAATTAAACTCCTCAGTTATATGTATGTTTTCTTTTTCTTTTATTTTATTTTATAATTTAATTTAATTTTACATATCAGCCACGGATTCCCCTGTCGTGTCTCCCCCCACCCACCTTCCCCTCAGCCCACCCCCATTCCCATCTCCTCCAGGGCAAAGACTCCCCTGGGGATTCAGCTCAACCTGGTAGATTCAGTCCAGGCAGGTCCAGTCCCCTCCTCCCAGGCTGAGTTAAGTATCCCTGCATAGGCTCCAGGTTCCAAACAGCCAGCTCATGCACTAAGGACAGGTCCTGGTCCCACTGCCTGGGTGCCTCCCAAACAGTTCAAGCTAATCTACTGTCTCACTTATCCAGAGGGCCTGATCCAGTTGGGGGCTCCTCAGCTATTGGTTCATAGTTCATGTGTTTCCATTAGTTTGGCTATTTGTCCCTGTGCTTTTTCCAATCTTGGTCTCAACAATTCTTGCTCGTACAATCCCCCCTCTTTCTCACCAATTGGACTCCATGAGCTCCACCTGGGGCCTGGCCGTGGATCTCTGCATTCAGTTCCCTCAGTCATTGGATGAGGTTTGCCCATCCTATCACCACTCACACTAGTAGGTCAGTTCGGGCTTTCTCTCGACCATTGCCAGTAGTCTATTGTGGAAGTGTCTTTGTGGATGTCTGGGGACCTCTCTAGCACTTTGCTTCTTCCTATTCCCCTGTGGTATTCATTTATCATGGTCTCTTATTCCTTGTTCTCCCTCTCTGTTCTTGATCCACCTGGGATTTCCCGCTCCCCTAAGCTCCCTTTCCCTTGACCCTTGCCCTTCATTACCCCCACTCATGTCCAGGCTGTTCATGTAGATCTCATCAATTTCTCTGTCATTGGGCGATCCCGGTGTCTTTCTTAGGGTCCTGTTTTCTAGGTAGCCTCCCTGGAGTTGTGAATAGCAGTCTAGTCATCTTTGTTTTACATCTAGTATCCTCCTATGAGTGAGTATATACCATGTTTGTCTTTCTGAGTCTGGGTTACCACACTCAGGATGATTTTTTCTAGATCCATCCATTTGCCTGCAAACCTCATGATGTCATTGTTTTTCTCTGCTGAGTAGTACTCCATTATGTATATGTACCACATTTTATTTATCCATTCTTCAGTATATTTTCAACCTAAATAAATAAATCAAGTCATCAATCCAAATATGGATCCTCTGTTAACTAATTAGGAATGACTTATCCAAGACAGAGTACTTGTAATTGCCCTATCTACAGCAATTTATTCCTAGCAATGAAATGAATAAATGTCAAAACCATATCAAAAAGGGAGTGTGTTTAAGAGATGAGATGGGAATGGTAGAAGGCTGAGCAAGCAGAAAGAATGAGGGAAAGTCTCCATTCTAGCATTTATTAGATACTTGACCCCTCCAAATTACCCATTCTATCTTGATTTATTTACCAAAATAAATAAAGAGCACTAGGTATACAAGCCATTTATGTCTTCTAGGTATTCCCACTGGGAGAAATAAGTGCAGTGTGGTACTCTGAGTTTTAGGTACAGAGTATTTAACTTGGTAACAATCATTGAGGACATAGTCAACCCTTTTAAGTTTACTGTTAATCTTCTGATTGTAATAAGGAAAATAACACAATTTTAACACTTCTCTAGCCTTGAAATTTTTTCCAGAGAGCAAATCTCTAATTTAAAGTCTTGAAAGATAAATTTTAGATACATTATACATCTGTTTCTCACATATACATATTGTGAATTCCAAATGTCTCCTAGTTTGAATTATAATTTTTATTTTTATACTATTTATTAAGTGATTTTTGTAAAAATACATAGTAAACAATGGAGGTGGTAGATTAGACAAAAACTCATGACATCAGTAGAATGCATCTGGCATTGGGAAACATTGTGCACTGATTATTGTTACCTCGGGAGACAATTGCTACTAATCTTGTATAAGGTTCTTGCTAAGGACAAGAACAGTCCCACATTTCTTTCTTCCTGTGAGACTCAAAATATTGATGGGGGTGGAGAGTTTCTGCACAGATCAGCTAACTGAAGACTATGAACAATTCTTTGTAGTATTCTGACTGGGGCCATTTCCTTCCCACTGACTTACTACTCTATACTTAAAGTTATGGGGTACCGCTGTTTAGAACTACCATTCTAAGAGGACACAGTAG